GGCGATACCAATGCTGCAGTGTTTCGCGCTGAGGATAAGACGGGCCCTGCTGGCTGGCTGGCTGGCGGCGGCGGCGGCGGGTGCTGGGCGGGGCGAGTGCAGATGGGCTTGTGTTTGAAGGCCCGTTAGTAGTCTATGCAACGGCTAGTGATGTCGAGTGCCCAGGCGACGGCCGCGGTGGTGGTGGTGGTGGTGGTGCAGGCAGCGCAGGAGGCCGCGGGGGGGTATGTGTGCAGGAGATGGGGAGTGGAATTGGGAGGGGGGCAGTCAGTGAGCGAGCGAGGGAGCGGGCGGGCGGGTGAGGGAGGGAGAGGGGGCAGGAAAGGGAGAGGGCGAGGGCGAGGGCGAGGGCGAGGGGCGGAGGGCAGCGGCGGCGGGCGGGCGGGTTTATGTAAACGAAGGCAGAGGCAGGCAGAGGCAGAGGCAGAGGCAGAGGCACGATGAGGACTAAAAGTAGCTACTTGCTGCTGCCATCTACTTAGCAGCTGGGAGCGGCCAGCTGGGCGGCGGACCTGGGACGCTGCGGCGTTCGGTAGGACCGGCCGTCATCTGGGCCGCTGGTCACGAGCCTGAGGAGGAGAGAGGGCAGAAAGCCACCATGAGGCCGATGCCCGCCCGCGACCTGCCCTGCGCGACACACGCACATGCACACGCGCCTGTGGGGTTTTTGGCTCGCCCGCCAGACGGGCATAGCGCTGCGTCCGCCTGACTCTGCCCACGCCCACACATTCACGCCCTCCTTACATGGTCCCGTAGTGCTGCACCTACTTGGACACACACACTCACACACACACTGCCCGCCCGCCCGAGGGATCCGCCATCTGCCCCCCGACCTCTCCATCGACATCTTCGTCTCGCTCGCCTGCCCTGCCCTGCCCACGCGCAGCTGATTGTGCAAGGGCAGACTCGTTAGCCCGCCTCAGTCTACCCAAGTGGATTAGCTGCCGACTCTGTGCAGCCTGGACATTGCGGGGGAAAAAAAGACCCTGAATCCATCCCTCGCTCTATTCTTCTTTCAGCCCCAGCCGGCCTGGCCCTCGACACTCCCTGCGCGCGCTGCCTCGATTGCGACCTTTGCCTTTGATTCACCGCACTGCACCTGTCAGGCGCTGGCTGCAACCATGCCCATGCCAGACGTGCCCGGCCTGGGCGGCTACTCGCGCTTTGAGCTCGAACTAGAGGTCCGCAATTCCCGTCGACCGCAACGTCATTAGCCCCTGTTTTATCTTCATTAACACGAACCTAGTTTGTCCAGTGCCTCGCCAATCCCGTTTATCTCAACTTCCTCGCCCAGCAGAAAACGCTGGATAAGCCCGATTTCGTGGCGTACCTGGCGTACCTGCAGTACTTCAAGCACCCCAAGTACGCCAAATTCCTCCAGTAGGTCCCCCCCTTTCAGCCTTGTCCTCGACTACACTGCGCCCAACAACTGCTCCGTGACGCCACCCAGCTTACTGATGATGATCCGCCTGCAGCCATCCCGGCCCAACGCTCCGTGCGCTCGAATTGCTGCAGCAGGAGCGCTTTCGCCACGACATTCTCGCTCCTGGCCTCGTTGACAGGCTGGTCATCCAAGGGCAGCGCAACGCTGTGCCTGCTGCTAACACGTACTGAGCCCACGTGGGGCCACACCGCCAAGACATACCGTCGATCGTGGCCGTGTGGCTGGCCCTTTTTGGCTCCCAAGGTACCCCCGACGCCCCTCTCTCCCTCTGCCGTCCTGGACCCCAGCACTGCCAAATCCAGCTGAAATATCGATTCATCCTCATCTCAATTTGGCCTGACAACCTGTGTTTAGCCCGCCCGCCCATGGTTCGCGCCATGGATGAAGCCTGCAGCCCGTGGCCGTCGCCTGCTAGCACCTCGCTCTGAGACGCCGCCCCATCGACGGCTCCATCGGTACTCGTACTCTTGCTCTGCACTCGATAGTCGAACGCTTTGGTAGCAAAAATATACCTAGTGTGTAGTCACAACGGCAAGCCATCGTATTCAGGTACCCTAGAATAGTGCACGGCGCTATCGTTTGATGCTTGATCCATCGTATTCGCATTGCAGTGACGTCGATATACAGCCTGCGTGAACCAAACAAACAATAAATAATCCCATCCCTAGCCTAGCCCAGCCATGCCGTGCGATGCCAATGCCATGCATCCATCCTCACAGCAGATCCCAGTAGTGGCCTCGCCTACTGCACAGCTGGGACCATCTGCCTGCTGCACGTGACATCATCGCTCGGCCAAAGCTGCCCCGCGTCGCGCCATTGCTGCGAGCCATCGAGGGCGCAGCAACCCCAACCCCCCCAGTCTTGCGAGCTGAGCTACCAACAGGGTACTTGGTTGCCGACACAGTACTCACGCACCCCCCCCCCCCATCACTGTCAAACTTTAGCACCATGCGCTCCGTATCCGAAGCCGAGTATGCCCATGCGTCGTCTACACAAATCCCCTTGACAAAACTCTGACGTGATTGATGTAGGAAGCACTGGCGCTTGCTCGACAACTTCCATTCCTTGACCGATCTCAAGATTCACGTCTCTTCGCACAAGGAGCCTCAAATTACTGCCGGCCTCCGGTCTGTCTGCTGGAAAGTGCGATTTCCCCTCCACTGTCTCGTCCTGCTGCCATTGCTCATCATCCATTCCACAACCAGATCTTTCTCGTCTTCAAGACTCTCGATCGTTCGTCATGGCCCACCCACCTCAGCCAGGCGCGCAAGACATACGAATCCCTCCGCACTCACTACCTCCGTGCCATACAGAACCCAAATGAATTCGAGTCTGCCGTCGACCCCCTGAGCGAGCTATCAGAGGTGCGTATATCTCGTCGCCCCATCGCACGCGCCCAAAAATATGTCGCTTATTGACAGGTGCTAAGCGTTAAAAGTCCCCATGGATAGCCCTACGAGCCGACGAGGAGCTTCGGGCCGAAATATTTCAAGACATTGAGCGATGCATGCCGGACAATGTATACTTTCGCCAGCCCGCCACCCAAAACATGATGCTGGACATTCTGTTTGTGTGGTGCAAAATGCACCCCAACATTGGCTATCGGCAGGGCATGCACGAAATACTAGCCCCCGTGCTGTGGGTCGTGGAAAGGGATGCCATTGAGCTCGTGGGCCAGAAACCTGGGGCCAAAGATCGCACGCTCGCAGATATGCTAGATTCTGCATACATTGAGCACGATACCCACATGCTTTTCTCCGTCATCATGCAGACGGCAAAGTCGTTTTATGCCCCAGCAGAGATTGGTTCGGCTTCCAAAGAGACTCCCATGCTTGCTCGCAGCTCTAGGATCTTCGACGACTACCTGTCAAGGGTCGATCCAGGATTGCATGGCCATCTCGTGAAGCTCGACATTGTCCCTCAAATATTCTTGCTGTAAGCCGCCAGTGCACTTGGATTCCCTCCCAACTATGTAACTAACAAGCACAGCCGCTGGATACGTCTTCTTTTTGGAAGAGAATTCTCTCTTGACGCCGTCTTTGACATGTGGGATGCTCTGTTTGCGATAGACTCCACGCTAGAATTAGTCGACATGATTTCCATCTCCATGCTGCTGCGCATAAGGTGGGACCTGATAAAGGCTGATACCAACGAAGCGTTTGCTTTTCTGCTCAGATATCCGGAGCCGGCCAACCCCCCTTACACGTTCATCAAAGACGCTTTGTATCTTCGTGACCACCTAACCCGACAGGGCGGCGTAGAAATCATCACAAGATATGGAAAGAAAGCCCCCGTTTTTGAGCCTGAGACAATAGCCAGTCCTCGCGATGCTTCGCCATCACCATCGTTCGCCTCAAGCCGAACACGAAATAGCCTGGGGTCTCCAAGAAGCTTTGTCAGCCAACAAGGTACTGGCATAGAGGCATTGATTCAAGGCGCCGCCAAAAATGTATTAGATCGCGGATCGCAATGGGGTGTGGGAAAGGCTCTACGCGATGCCGTAGGGGAAGTAAAGAAGAATGTCGAAGCCTATCAGTCAGGAGTGAGTTCAGGCAATGCAACACCACGATCCGGTGCAAGAGAGTTTCGAAAGCCTGGCTTGCCAACAATTGGTGCCAATGGGAGGCCCAGCTTGGAAAGAATGCATTCGGCCAAAAGCATGAGTAAATTAGAAGAGCTCGATCGTAGAAACAAGAATCTGGCCAAGATGCTAGAGGCTGCAATCGGTGAGTTGTGGGAGCATCACCGTGAACGTGATGAGGCGCAAAGAGCAAACGCAAATGACGAAAAGGGCAAGGAGGCTATCGAAGCACTTAGTCTTGCCATTGCAAAGGTACAGTTTGTACAAGTGTACCTGGAAGATTCATCGATACCGTTGCCTGTCGATGAAGTAACAGAGCAAGCTGCAACTGCACAGGCTACAGCAACTCTCGCTTCTCCAAGCCCTCCCTCCACAACAGGACCCGAGCAGAGCCCCAAGGTCAAGCCTGTTACATCCACAGCAAGTCCTCGTCCCACCACACCTTTGGTAGCAGTGTCAAGCAATCCTACCCCAATTAGTTCACGCCCGGCATCCCCTCCTGTCAGCACACTGTCGCCACCATCAAAGCTCGCCTCATCTCTATCCCCAAGGTCACGACCACACCTCACATCTTCAAGCTTTTCATGGATGTTGGGTGAAGACTCTGCGTCCTCCAACTTTGCCTCGGGTACAGCGCATTCGACCTTTTCATCTGATGAGAAGAGGCGGATGAAGGGCAAAGGATTTTTGTTTGGCGATGATGATGATGATGATGATGACGATGGTAGTAGCATCAAGGATGGGAAGAGAGGGGTTGGTAGCAGTAAGAGCGGCACAAAGAGCGCTAAGAACACAAAGGGTAAAAGCGTTCCAGAGCCTGAAGTGGAAGAAGAAGTAATCAATCTTGCAAACATGGGTAACAAAGGAGGGGTGGTCTAAATTCCCTTTGGCTCTCTTCAAGGCGCCTCAGCATCATTCTTCGGAGCGTCGGCGTGGGATGTAAAAGTCATCTTTGAAAGCAACGTAAGAGGTTTTGGTAAGTGATCCAATTGCGATGGAATCTCCATGCCCAAGGTGACCGTCAGAATCCTACGTAAGATGGTGGTTACCGTGCCATTTGAGCGGCATGGCGCGCTGCGTACGTCAAGACTGCAAGTGGGTGAAGACATCCACCCGAGAACAGACGATCCCCCGGAGTACAATGACGGAGGGTGGGCTCGAATACAATCCATCATCTGCCGCTCTTGCATGCTCTTGACCGAACCAACAACTTGGCAGTCCGGCCTCATCACTTCTTTGGTCAGCTTACAGCATGCTGTTCTGGAGGATCTATGCGCCTAATGCCACTTCACAGTTGATGGTGCGGGTCGCCCCCACTCTCCCGCCGTCCTTGGTGCCGCCGCCAATGCCTCACCAGGCCTCTGGATTCGCCACCCCAATCATTCCATATGGTACGTCTGCTCCAATGATTAGCTGGTCACGAGGCCCGACCCGCCTAAATGAATCAGGTCGGCAACCCGGCCGCGTTGGGGTGCGGGAGACTCTGGCAAGTGCGGCTATTGGCGTCACAGCGGCCGTGGCCGAAAACAGTTGGTCATCGGTCAAGCATGAGCAGATAAAAGGCCGCCCCGCTTCTGCCCCTCCAACTGTTTCTCTTTCCTCCAGCAAACGACCAAAACTACCAATCTACAACTATCTTCTTTTACATTACCACCAAACCACCACACTTCAAAACCTCATCAAAATGAAGGGAGGCTGCGGAAACGCTGGATGCACTTGCGCCGACTGCGGCTGCGCACAGGGTGCTTGCTCCTGCGGCAAATGTACGTGTTTTTTTGTATATCTGAGGTTTTTTTTTGTTCAAATACTCTTCATCTTGAGTTTCTGTGTTTGTACTGCGAAACTTGAACTCGGTATACTAATAGTTATCGTTTAGAAATGTCATATCAGACAGCTACCACCATGCGACAAGACTATTCCATTCGACTCACGCCCTGTTTATAACACGAAATGTTTGAACATTCATGTACAACGCGAGCGATCGTTATACTTAGTTCCAATATTTGATTTGAATGCATACGTATGGGAGGAGTAGAACGAGTAGTAAACATAGGAACAATCGCATGACATGACTATTGACATAACATGCCCCTTTCTTTTGCAGTGATATATAATCGGTCTTGGGTTAAAGTCCCGCGTTCCTGGTTCATTAATGTTGATCTGCTGCAAAACGTATGCACCTGAATCGAAGTGGCATAATATAAGTATAACTAGGTTGTCTGTGTAACTCAAGATGATCATCTTAAACTGAAGCTTACTTGATCTGCAATTCTTAAAAGTAGCAGATAATAGCTGTTTGTCTCTTCCAAGCCCAACTTCCTCTGCGTACTCTATACCTGACGTGTGTCCCGTGACATCCGTCAAGGCTGGATCTACTCATTAACAAGTCGCACCTTCCATCCGTGCACACCCACTAGCGCGATGCACTCGGAATCATTCCGACAGGCCCCCAAGCATTACCCTCACACTTACCCTGATCTCACTATCCAATTTACAGCAAACTATATCAGATGGAAAAATGAAAAGCACATCTCACACCTTTGCAACCAAAGGGGACGAAGCCGTGGGACCAGCAGAGCCAATCCTCGCATCTTCCTTAATCAATGACGACGAGCTGGACGACTTGATCAACCGCATGTACAACTCGGGTATCAGCGAGCACAAGCACAACATAGAGCGCATAGGAACTGGAGTCAAGAGCTTGGATGCGGCACTGCTCGGTGGACTGGAAAGCGGGCGGGTAATTGAAATCAGTGGTGAAGCAAGTGCAGGCGTCAGAGAGGTTAGTTAGAAGGAAAGGAAGGGAAAAAAAGAAAGAAAGAAACAAAAGTCCAACTCGATTGAAAACAAGATGAGTGGTTATGTGAAACACGTAAGAGAAGTGAGGTTGAACTAATTAGGGAGTGTTGTTTTTCTAGGTATACACATCTTTGCTTGTTACTTGTCTATTGGCAAATCAAAATTCCACAGCGGCGGTGGTGGATACGACGGGTAATTTCGACGTCTTGAGGCTGTATACGCTGATTATTGCGCGGTTACTACGACTGTGGCAACAGCAGCCTCAGGATCTACCAGCGCCCCCCTGCGGATCTGTTGGTTTAGGATCGGATTCTCGTGCGGAAGATGTGGCAGCAAAGGTGCTGGACCGGGTTAAGATTATGCGAGTTTTTGATTTTGAGGGTGTGAGGGAGGTGGTGGGGGAGATTAGAGATGAGCTCGAGGGAAGAAGGGGAGGAGGTGGAAAAGATATGGAAGAGAAAGAGGAGACGTTGGTAGAGGAGCAGATACGGGTGGTGGAAGCGAAAGAAACTTCTAAGAGAACATTTGTTCCGGATAGCGAGGACGAAGACGGGGACGGAGAAGAGGAAATGCTGTTTGAATCCGAGGCCAAACCCAATCTGGCCCCACGAGTGCAAGACACAGCCGCGATATCAGCGCCAGAACCAGAAAACCCAGGACACGCAGACACAGCAGACGAAGCTACAAAAACAACCCCCAACAAGATCCCACCAAGCGCTCTGAAATTCATCCTAATCGACAACCTCACCCACATCTATGGACCCCTGTCAAAAACCGACACAAACAAAGGTAAGTCTCCACCGTACCATTTCCCTCCCCCCCTCAAACCGTACAAAGCACCAGAAACTGACCCGGCATAAACAGCAACATCCCTCACATCCAGCCTCCTCTCCACCCTCGCCCACCTAACCCACTCACTCACTCTCTTCACTCTCCTCGTAACCCCCACCACGCCACCACCACCTCCCCCCGCCCTGCGTGCCGCATCTCCCACACGCGGGGCCCCCGCACACCGGGAACATGCAGGAAGCTACGGGGGTCCGGATCAGAGTGATGCAACAATACCACAGCCTTCTATTTTCTCGAGTAACAAGATAGGACCGGGGGCACCGGGTTTGACTGGATTGATGGGTTTGTATAGTGATGTACACGTGCTGATTAGTCGGATGCCTCGTCGGAAAGTTGATGCGAGGGTTTATTACGATGAGAAGATTGACACGGCGCGGAAGAGAAGGGTGGACATGGTTGGGGTGCTCGAGGTGGTGGGGGATAGATGGGGAGGGAGGACGGGGGCTTGGGGGGTCTTTGCAGAGGGGCGAGATGGCATTGTAGACATCACATAAGATGCAGTTTGGGGAAACGGAGGCCAATGGGATTTCACTGGTCTAGAGTCCACTCGTCGTCGCCTGTGTTTTTCGGCCAGCCTTTCAACGCGCTTTGCATATCGCTCTTTACTCTTCTTCTTTCTAACAACAAAGCGGTACTCTTCATTTCGGCATATTTTTTCTTCGTGCTGAGCACTGTCGCAGCTGCTCCGCCTAGCATTGCTGCCATCCGTACACTTTCCATCCACAATCCTCTTCTGCAAATCCGGCTTGCGCCACGGGGATCCAGCTGCTTTCGCCCTTGCAACACACCACCGATGATTGTCTCCTGCCAGTACGGTGTCCAAACTGCCGACAGGTTGCTTGATACCGCGTTCTCTCCTGCAGCTAGTGCACGCCTCGACCACGTGAACTCCGTTGTGGTAGGCTTCACTGTGAATGGTTGGAATGTGTATCCTCCGCCCCACCCATCTTTTGTCGAGCAAGGCAAGTTTTTGAGGCGGCCAGTGGGAGAAAAAGCGCGCTCGCATGCTTGGGGCACGTATTGCGAGGCGGGGAGGATGAGAGTAGCTAGATAGGCGTTTTGTGGCGTGATGAAGAGAGAAGTGGTGGAGGAGAGAAGGGAGAGGGATTGCTTGAGGGTGAGTTTGTCGGTGCAGGATTTACTTAGGGTAGGGGGTGCGTCTGGTCGGGAGGGTTTAGCGCGGACGACGCCGAGGTGGGAGAAGTTTGAGCGACCACGTAGGGCGCTGGGTCCGATGTCTTCTTCTGTGTCGCCAGTCGTTTGTCCTGGTGGGCTGAGTGACTGTGGAGACGATGCTACAGTGGCTTCCTGGAGGGTTGGGGGCGGGCTTGTCCATGGCGTGGCATCTGCTTGCGCGGCCATAGTGAGCTCCATGCTTGCGTCACCGCAGGGTGCTTCGGAACAATACATGTGGATTGATACATCATCGGGGATAGTAAATAGCTGTGGCATCTGGTCTCGGGAACATCGGGATTGGATGAAATCCGACGTAGGATATGGTGGCGATGAGATGCGCACACATTCGTCCAGAAGGTAGCGGTTAAAGGCTCGGATGGCAATGACTTCAGCGTGCCAGTCGTGTAGGATGTTGCCTTTTGCTAGTGGGAGTTTGTTTGATGGGAGACATTTCATGCCCGTTCTACGAGCGTCAGCATGCCATTACATGGTCAGATATCGCTTCTTGGACACTGCGAGATGGCGCTGAATTGACCCATGTTCCAATGTATCAATCGTATATGGTTCTTTTCACAATCCTGCAGCACCTTGAGGCGGGGCCGAGCGACTGATGGGAATAGCCCACTCGGGTAAGTAGACTACTTGATGCATGTCGCTTACGAGTCGACGAAACCCCATTTTACCCACGTCGTGGCGGCATGGCTCGCAAATGGCGCAAGGAACTATATTGAAAGGAATATTGCTTACCCCAAAGATACACACTTTAGCCTGTCGCCTTCGCTAGTTCATGGGCATAAGCAAGTATAGCGGCGTAGACATGCCAGTGAGCGATTACCTTTAGATAAGACGATTCCAGCAATGGGGACCCATTCTCGCGCGCCGTGGCTGCGGGGTCGGGGTTTCCTTTTGTCGGGCAGGCTGTCAAAGGTGTCGAGGACACAGCGGGCGATGGCATCTGGGTCTGGTGCCATGGTCGTCTGATTTGGTCGTCTGCAGTGAAAGGACAGCAAGGGTCGAGGGGCTCTGGTCAGGTTAGGTCAGGCATTGGGGCACGGAGTTAGGGCACGGAGAAAGCTGAAACCGGAAACCGATTGATGCTTTGGCGGTTCCAAGGCCATCCATCACTCCTGCTACTCGACGACAAAAGAACCCTGTCACACGCGCGATACCACTAGGACCCCTCTTACAGCTTGCCCGAACGTAGCTTTGTCCGGCTTCTTCTCTTCTCTTCAATATGCAAGCGTTTGGTGAGCAATGGCTATGCGCCGCACCGTCGCATTTGCGGCTCACACACTCACGATCCCAGTGCCAAAGAACCGACGAGTAAGGCAAAGCGTGTTACTAAGACGCGCAAACATACATAGGCACGTTACACGGGCTGACAAGCTGCACAGCCAAAGTTTGACCTGCACCTGAGAGTGCGCGCTGCCCATCATGCCCCCTATGACCATGTCCTGACCGCAGCAGATCATCGACCTCAACAACGTTCCCCTCGCATCCGGTACATCTTTCGTGAAATGGCACCTCTTGCACTCGACAGCCGCCGAACACCGCGGTCGTACAGAAAGCTGCTATGTGAAGGACCATAAAGTTGCCTACGACTATGAGGCTACACTCCCCGTCCGGCTTACCGTAGACAAGAACGGCATGTTGCAGGAGTGCTACGTCGAGTTTGAAGTTGTCCAAGAGTACGGAACAGGCAGAGGCGAAAGAATAACTCTGGGCACTGTCAAGCTCAACCTGGCAGAGTATGTGGAACAGAGCGAGATGGGCACTGTAGCGGGCGAAGAGCCAGGCGTCACACGGCGATACCTCATGCAGGACAGCAAAATCAACAGCACGCTCAAGATTGGGATATACATGAAACAGATCGAAGGGGACAAGAACTACATTGCGCCCGCACTCAAGACTGCTCAGGTGTTTAGCGGCATCGCGGGTATCATGGCCGGAGAACAGACCGAGCTCGAAGATCAAGGAGGTAAGCCTACCTTTTTCTTTTTCTCCCTTCACAAACGGAGCTAACTTTCACAGCCACACACTCGTCGGTGAACAAGTCGCGCGAAGCTAGCGAGCTACAAGATATGTACAGGCGTACCCTGGCCGCATACTGGTCGGCTCAGCCCGGCGAGCTCAAGGCAGACGAATGCATAGAGGATATCTTCGCTGGCGGAGACGGATGGGGTGACAAGTCCTACTCGCAGCAAACACGGGCTCAGCAATCGTTGCGCTTCGCCGGCGACGGCGGCAGCAGCTCTGTAAGCGAAAACGAATCGAGGCACATGCATGGTAGCAGCATCAGTCGCAAGTCGCATGAGACGCTGCGGCCCGGGGACATGAAACCGCTTCGCTCGCCAAATGTGCGAGGCCTGGAAAGCCTGGAACAGCGGGCATCGCATCTGAAGGCGAAGGCTGAGGCGGCGCGGCAACGACAACGGCCCGTCCAAGAGGTCAATGAGTTTGATCTGCGAGAAGACTTGGTCAGCTGGCATCGGCCGACGTGATGTCTCATTGTAAAAAAAACAGTAGATTCTTGTAATTGCGCATTTTGTTTCTTCTCTTGAACCTATTCTTTTTTGTTTGTATTGTCTTTGTAACGACAGACATGTGACAAGAAGCATTGGCACACAGCTACTCAGGATGACGCGCCTTGCACGTGAAGGCGCGACGGCAGAATTATTAGGCGGTGGCCAAAGTTGATGGTCGCATTTCACTTTGTGCACCACATACTGCAACAAGCATTGAACCCCAGCCCAACCTCGCTGTCCTTCATGCTTGCGCCCCGTGCTCCCAGTGCATTTGTATGCCTCCGCTGTGAAGCGCAAATCGCCCGCCGACGACTCCCTGCCGTGCCCCGCCGCATCCCACGCGCCACTTTTTCTGCCTCTGCTCGCCTGCATGACGATGGCGCAGAAACAAACGACGCTGTTTCCGAGTCGAACGGTCCGAAGCTCAAGATTACTAAAGTAGTCGAGCCGCTGAACCGGGTCCGGAGGAGAAAGGGCAAGATTATCAAAGAGA